AACCCAGTAGCCATATGGTTGGATTTTGACCCGGTGGGTCTCAATGATTTTTGGTCCAAACCTCTATTATAGATGGGTTTTTGTGTCAAAAAGAGTATCCTTCAGCCTATGGCCCTAAGAGGCCCGATTGGAGATGGCCTTGTTGTAAATATGTGAAGTCCATTTGATATTTTCATATTCCAATCGTATCAGTTCTTTCGGTTAGTTGAGATCCAAGCTCAACTAGAGAAACCCATTCAAAAGAGTGAGAGGATAAAAACGGCATGGGAGGTGGAGAAGATTCTTGACGGGCATGGAGAGATGAGGAAATCTTTATCCTAAATGTTAAAAGTGAAGGCTCATTTTGCCTTACAGGAACAATAGGTAAAAGACAGCGTCCATTTTAATACATGACACGGCGACTAATCTTCAGGCTCGATGGTTCTCGGTCTTCTTCCCCTACCTCTTCTGGAACTGGTGTTATAATTTGTGACCATAATGGCTCTTTTACTGCAGCAGCTTCCCATCATTGTTCTCACACCTCTTCTGTGGAGGTGGAGGCCTCTGCTGCCACGGAGGGTCTTGGTGGACTTGGATCCGCCGAGAAGCCAACAGTGCTGCTGATGCCACCGCCAAGCTTGTGAAAAGGAGGTTGTGCGTTTGCAACTGGGTTAACACCCCTCCACCCTCCCTGGTGTCCGGTCTCTCTCATGACGACCTCCCTGCTATGCTTCCCTTGCTGCTGCTTTTGTATGCTTCTTTTTTTCTGTACCCACTGTTTTGCTGCACTGTTTTTCTTCTACCTGTTTTTTTGTTTGTTCCTCTTCCTTTGTGGCTTTTATCAAGTATCACTATCACTTGACCAAAGAAATATGAACGAAGATTTACAGAGCTAAATGTGACTGTAAAAAGTAATTAACAGTAAATAAACAACCGTCTGCATGGAGAATCAATCTATAATGACCATGTTTATGGAGCTAAACGTGATAAGAAATTCAAAGAGAACTGGCAGAATCCTAAACCTACCATTCTAAAAAGGCATCAAGTAAGAAGGATTGGGAGCACCACTACAAAACCCATGGCCTTTTAACTTCTCATGCCGATGACCAGAAATGTCAGAAAGCATATGTCATGTAAGTTGAACCCAAGTACTAAATAACAATTGAAAACTAACTGGCATGGGACAAGTTCTCGAAGTCAATATGCAACTGGAAGGAAACAGCATATAATTACAATTGTACTGCGAGCAGAGGCTGAAAGGCTGCTTGTCATGTAAGTTTAATCATTGACCGAGCCATACATATAATCTCACACGACGTTTATTGACCGCCATTGCCATATTCCCTTCTCGACACTCTTACCATAAGTCCAAGCTTTCTTAAATAATTCAATCATCTTGCTAAGTGACAACAATGGGGGCCTACGATTCCTATGACAATGACCTGCAGAAGAATTATGCAAAGTATGAACTGTTTATGTTGTTTTTATATACCAACCTACCAAGAGAATCCAACTTCAGGAATCCCTTCAATCCATCAGAATTCTCTTCTGATCACTTATATCACTCTAGGACAATTCATAGAGAACCCTACAAAAGACCTGTTAACCTTCCCTCTCTTTATAATCCCGAACTCAACAGTCTACAATCCAATGGAAAAACTCCGAATTCTCTAAACCCGCAACCCCACCAATCCTCTCTTCCCAAACATCTCCAAAGTTCCTAATTCTATAAGCTTCCAAACCCATCAATTATCACAAACAGATATGCACAGAAGTAAATGAAGGATCAGAAATCCAAAAAAAGGTCGCATCGAAAGCGAAACCAAGAACTGCAAAGAATTAATAAAAGCCTAATAATATTGATGAAACCAAGTCATGTATACAAAATTTACTTAAAAGAGAGAGAAATCTATGAGCAATGGATTCCATTGAAAAAATCAAGAAACCTCTAGACCATACAAAACGCCGGCGTACTTCACGATCCCGTCCTTAGGAAAATAGACCTCTCTGATCCTCTGGAACGCGTGCAGGGTTAGCAGGCTATCCGACCCGGCCTGGTGGCTCTTACCGGCAATCCGGTCCACATTCAGTGTCTGGCAGACCCGGTCCAGCCCACCATAGAGGGCGGCGCAGAACCTCGTCAGGTGCTTCACGTCGTACACTCCAGACCCAAAGAAAACCCTCACGTAATTCAAGAACACCGACAACTCGTCCGGCAAGACTCGCTGAGTCAACAACTTGACCAGGTACCCGAAATCGTAGGCGCTGTGGAACGTGACCCAGTTAACGGCGTCGTTGCAGACGAGCCCCGACGACATCATCAGCTCCGCGAACCGGACCGAGTCCACCCCGAAATCCCGGTTCCGCTCGAAATCGATCCCCTGGCGGCGAAGCAACTCGACCGAGTCGTGCGCGTGGGCGTCCCGCGCGACGTCGAAGTCCCGGAAATTGAATTCCCATATATACAGATTCTTGGTCCCCAAATCCGGTAGATTTCCGCTGTCGTCCGAGAGGGTGAGGCCGACCTGGATCAGATTGAGGCGATCGACGTTGGCCTTGAGCATGAGGTAGTGCGCGGCGGGCTCGCGGTGGTAGAAATTGGGATCGTTGGAGTCGGGTCGGACCACGACGCCCGGGAATTCGGTATCCATGGAAATCAAAGGGTAATCGTCGATGACGGATCGGATCAGTTCGAACTCGGACTCGAGGTTATCGGACCACACCGAGCGGATCAGGATGTCTCGCGGCGGCGGAGGCTTGGGTGGAGGGGGGCCGGATGATGACATCGCAGAAGATCGTCCAGATCGGATTGCGAAATCGGATCCGAATCGACGATTGTTTGTCACTGAAATTAAAAAAATAAATAAATAAAAACGAGGGTGAAATTTGGTTAGGGTTTGACGGATGATTTTGAAGGAGGAACAAGAAAGAAGGGGGGCAGTTTTATACAAATCAATCGATAGTTTAGAGAGAGAAAGGGATGAGAGAGAGAGAGAGATAGAGGGACGTGGGGCAGTTTTTTTATAATTTATTTACTTTTATTCCCCGATTTGTTGCGGAATACTATTTTTATTTATTTTTGTGGGGTTTTTTATTGGAATTAAATAAAGGTGGTTGTCGGTGATTGGCTAGTTTATTGATTTGGAATTTTGTGAATATTGTACAACTGAAAATTAGCTAAAGTAGGAAAGTGGTGGGGTCCATGGGAAAACTATGGGCCGACTTGGGTTTGTCGTGTAGTTGATTAGTGGGGTGAATCGGGTGATGTGGAATTGTGGACATAGAAAATGGGCATGTAGTTAATTATTGAGTGCAACTTATCCACAAGATAATGAAAATTCGAAGAACGATAGCGTTAGTCGTTCATTTATGTTTGTGAGACCCATAAAATAAAAATGTAGGTGTTGTCCTACACGAAAAATACATCTATATCAAACGTTCTTCTGAAGATAATCTTAAATTTTGACGAAAATTATAGAGAGCATTTATTGATTAAAAAGCATCATTTAGGCATATTGATGATGTAGATGGTGTCGCAGTGACGCTAATGATAGGATTGACGTAACAGTAATCGATGGCATGCTACTTTAGTGGGTTTATCGACTAATCTGACTACCTCAACCCAACCAATCTGACTAACCCAACTTAAATATGTTGGGTTGGATTGGGTTGGGTTGTAAACTTCAAAATTTTATTTTTATGTAAAAACACGACCACTCGGTCAATAAGTGGATTGGGTTGTTTAAAGTATTGTTAACTCGATTAAAATTGACTCACTCGACCAACCCACGCAATGCCCTGCCCACCTTTAATCCCATGGAAGAAACAAAAGCCGAACTTTCCGTTCAAAGTTTAGCTTGTTTGCTTAAATGACTTGAATTATATATGGTTGTTAAGAAACAACGAGTTGAGCAAAACACATGCTGTGTGTATGATCGAGGGGCCTTGGGTGCCAGAACTCGTATGTAGGCCCTCAAATTTGTGCTTTTGAGTTTTTACGGTCCAAAGAAGATCTTCTTGGTAATGTTTTAATTGTTAAAACGTAAAATCTTGAACAAAGACATAGTTTGAAAGGTCAAAATTGAAACTCCCACCATACTAAAAACCTAAAGAAACATCATACACTAACACTCTGTTTGAATGAGAAAATTTAAGATTACTTAATTTTAAAACGACGGATATTGAAATAATAAAATTTTATTTTCTAAAATTTGTGAATTTTCTTATTTGTATAAATTAAAAGAACAATATAATTTGAATACGGAATTTGTTATTGTTAAACTCTTAATCATAGCAATTGGGAAATGACATATACTTACATGGAATTTAAACTTGGGAATTGGAGGTCTCAAATTCCAAGTTTTTTTTTTCCATGCGAAAATTCTAAATTTCTATGTTTATAAATCCAAACAAGAAAATTAGTACGTGACAATTTATAAATTCTGACTTTTGTCCACATTCCAAATTTATTTTCCTCATCCAAATACAGTGCAAGAAAGTAGGCAATTTAAGAAAGGAGTTAATGGATTGAGCAAGTTCAAGCAAAAACTTTGTCTCCTCAATTTTGTGATCCTATTACTTTCAATACAATGTACTCTTATTTGGAAACCCATTTTATTTTCAAAATTCAACTTTTTTTTATCTCCTAATTTTAATTTTAAGATGTGTACATTTTAGAAATGTTAATGAGATTCTCTAAAACAGTGACACTCTTCGTAGATTTTCTATCACTTTTATGTTTTTGGTTCAATATTCATAATGTTGGCATGGAATTGACGTTAAAATATTAGGTGACAGAGAATCCATAAAAAAATTCACTTTTAAGAGAATCCTCTTAGTATTTCTCATATTTAAGTATTCTAAAGTTGAAAATTTTCATCTCATAATTAATAAGAATCACAATTTTAATTCAACTTCTACAATTAATTGGGAATGAGAGTGAAAAGCTGAATCTAGAGGCCTCGTTTGGCAGCTCGGACTGTACTGACTATTTCTGTCGAATAGGATAAATAGCCACTGGATAGCACTGATTAAATTAGTTGGGCATTTAGTGCAGTATCGGACTAATGACCATGTTATTTATACTGTATTTGGTACTGAACCGGATAAGAAAGGGGAAGAAAAAAAAATTTGACAAGTTTCACATCTCAAAAACTGATCATACTTCTCATTCAGGTTGTAGAACACATTAATCTCTATCAAAAACATCTGCCCAAATTCTCACAAACTCTTTTTCCTGCTCGTGAAGATGACGAGTTTCACATCTCAAACACTGATCATACTTCTCATTCAAGTTGCCCTTCTTCCAATGTTGCTCCATTGCAGGGTTTTCTTCCCAATGGATGCCAATCTCATCATCCAAACATGCAGAGTCTGTCCTCTTTCTCTTCCACTCGATGGGTTGGGATCGAAATTCCAGAAAAGGGTTCGAAGGTTTTGGATCAAAGAATCGCAGGAATTAAAAAAAAAAGGAAATGGCCTTTGAGAGCTTCAAGTCTCAAGTATTCGACCCCAACAACAAACCCTAAATTCAAAAATTATAATTAAAACACAAAATTACAAAATCAATTGCATAATTACAGAGAAAACAATAACTAGATTCAAACAATTGAAAGAAATTGCAAGAAAAATAGGAGGGGGAAGAACAGAGGCAGGGGAGGAACCTGGGAAGAAGAAGAAGAAGAATGAGAAGACAAACCTGGGAGAGAGCGATGCGTCTAGAGAGGACCGGAGCGGCTGGAGAGGAAGGAGAAAGCGAGAGATTTTCTTGTACAGTCTGGAGAGGAAGAGAGAGCGAGAGTGCGTTTTCAGGAGGAAGGAGAGAGCGAGGGTGCGTTCTTAGGAAGCCGACTAAATTGTACCGTGGTTTTAGAGGGGATAAAGAAACGGATGCTTACCATATAAAATAAGTGGGTCCGGATTATTTAATCCGATGGCTATCTAATATGAACGAACATTAAATATTGTACTCCGTATTATTAATCTTATCCTGTGTACCAAACACGGCCACAATTTGCTCAACATTAACAGAAGAAAGAAAGAAAACCATATACATAGAAGAAGTGATTGACTTTGACAAGTCAGCATTGCGTTGTAGAATGCCAAAAATGTGCTCAGTAAAGTCGGCACTGAGTATGAAAGCCGGGCGCCAAGTTGTCGCTTGCGTGCGTCTGTTACCTAGCGTTTGGGCTGTTGCTGACTCATTCTTCATGGTTCCTGCATTTGTACACCAGCCGCTTGTCTACAAGGGAGGAACAGCAACTTACACAACATGGGTTTGCCGTATTTGTTGTCGAATTATCATAGAGACAGGTTAAAAATTTATTTTTGTCAACTTAATAATTATCACTTGCACAATTCATTAGATGTGAGATTTTATCACAAAAGTTATGGTATTAGTTGGAGCAACGTTATGATATTTAAACTCTTATTTTCTCAAAGACACAGTCGATGAGATATTTCAACAGTCATAATATCCCGTGCTAATTTTTAACATTATATGGTAAAAAATTTACACATATTACTATTGTATTTGGTATAAAACATTACAATAACGGTATATCAGTGCCATAAAAGTATATACCTGATGAAGTGGAGGGCATAAGTCCAAGCAACAAATACTAAATATTTACCAGAAAACAAGTTGTGATAGTTGGGTCACCTAATTTTACTTGTTTTTGCGTATTCCCACTTGGTTACAAAAATCAAAATTAGATCAATGCTGACCCAATATTTGAATAATAATTTACAGCTAAGCTCTTGTGTAATGTATAAGCAACAATGCTAAAATAGTCATAAATGTGTAAAATGAAATAAAATATATACTCATATAACCGTTTCAAATACAGTGTACTTGATCTTCAAAATAGAAATAATAATAAGAGCGGTGTTATTCACACAACTCTCTTAATTTTTGACTGTCTAATCGAATTAATTGAAGAATATATGTGTGGACAGTACCACCCTGATGATAATGTGTATACATGTTTTGTGTTAAGAAAGATTTAATTATTCACTATATTCAAGTTATATTGATTCATTAAGTTAAAAATGAAGACAAAGTTCTAAATTATGTCTAAGTTGAAGATGACGAATGAATTAGGGTGTGTTTGAAAGTGCTTCTAAAATAAATGAAAACACTTATGGAGAAAATATTTTTAGATTCCAAAAACATTTGTAATGCAATTGGAAAGAAGCACATTTTCATGTTTTTAATTTTTTTTCAAAATCTATTTGCAATTTCATAGATGATTGATTTCAAAAGTACGTTTCATCAAAAATACTTTCAGTCCTTTAAAACACACTTCCAAACACACCCTTACTAATATGGCGGTGTTATCTTACCAATTTGAGAGATTTGGAATAATATACCTTTCATTCCCAATACGTTCAATCTTATGAGTTATCTTGTTTAGTCTATAATTAATCACCAATCGTGGCATGCTTTAGATGAAGTTCGTGTCAAAACTCAAATCCATTATTTTAAATCCTTATCGAAGTATCCGCAAAATCACTTTCAATTTGCTCCTTGAATTTTTAAATAAAATTGAGATTTGAACAATTAAAAATTGTCAATTTTCCCTACTGAAAAGAGTTGAATATCCAACACTAGTCCGCGTCGTACCTTCACTCAAAACATCCCTAAAGCAGCTGCAATGGTAGTGACCAACCAATTCAGAAAATTGTTGAACGCATCATCTACAAGTTACAATTGGCAAATGCTAACCAAACTGATTCTTTAGTGATTAGATTTCGTGCTTCTGCATCAAAAAGATTGCGGTAGACGGCTACCGGACCTTGATCGTCTTGAGATCCCATTACAGTACATCTCAAACAATTTACTTTGAACCAATGCACAGATAATGGACACAACACAATTTACAGTTAATCTCTTAACAACACAATTAGTGCCCGATTCAGAGAGAAACATGCTTCCTACTGTCGTTCCAGTTTCGCTTACAACCACAATTTACTTGGTGTTTGATTTACCGGCCCCCTTTTCAAAATATAATGCTTGAATTTGATACATTTTACCCTCAAATTAACAAAACAGAAAACAACAAATCAAGAACAAATACGATGGCGAATGAGTATATATACAGATAAAGGGTAGAAGATTCCACTTAAGGGGTATGTTAAATATTTGACACACATAAAATCCCATTAATGAAACAGCATCCCTTCAATACAGTTCGACAAAATACGAAAGCAAAACACAGACGAAGCCATGGAGAGGTAACAGGAGAAACTTTTTGGGGGCACTCCCCTGCATGTTCTTAACATAGGATCTACGAGGGCATTACAAACTATATATTGCATATAGCATATGCAATTGGATCCATGATGATAACTATACGGTCTTGAAAGCTAGAAGTAGGTACCTTCTGGAGGCTGGACCAACTTCCGGTTATGCGGGGCTCCCATCTCCTTTTTCAGCTGTGTAAGAATATCTTCCATGGTGTACTCCCGCTGCCAGTTTGCAAGAAGTCCAAACTTCTTTGGTTCCACCTATCGAATCAAATGCACTCAGATATTGTCAAACCAAATATCGTTAGGCACAACCACTTGGACTGAATTTTCAATAGTCATACACCTGGTCAAAAATTCGTCTGGTCTGGCTTTACTGTTCTTATAATCATATTCAATATCATTGAAGAATAGAGTGTGTATGTGCGCGCGCGTGCGTGCATGTTGGGTTGGGGGGGAATAATGTGGTTGTTTGTTGTAGCTGTTGTAAAAGACTAAGGTACTTTATTTTTCTTCTCGCCAAAACAAAAGACAAATACATTACATATTGTCAAATGCACTCAGATATTGTCAAACTGAACATCGGTTGGACTGAATTTTTAATAGTCATTACATCCGGCACCGTCTGGTCTGGGGGAGACAATCCTGTGGTTGTAAATGACTAAAGTACCTTATTTTCTTCTCCCCAAAACAAAAGACAAATACATTATGTATCATAAGTGCAAATCACTAGCTGCAGTGAGAAAAGAATATGCAAAGCAAAACGCAAAACAACTGAACTAAAAATCATGTAATGAAATTGTGACCATACCACTCCAGTTTCATGGTTAACACAAGTCATGTTAACCCGAGAATGAAAACGAACACTTGGTGGCTTCTCAGGGTAATCTTTATCACAGAACAATTTCAACTGATAGATCCGACCTTCATGTACAGTCTGGGAAAAAGTAAAAAATGGAAATATTACATTAAACAAAAAATACATGGAAAAATATATTATGAAGCAGTAGAAAAGAATTATTTAACCGCAAACTGATTCAATGAAGGGGAATATAGAAAGAATTAGCCCCAAAGATTTAATGCTATATTTGAAGGTTGGGAAAGGGAAGCTCCTTTCTTTATTCACGAGATTTGAAGAGCACAAAACCAAGCCCCAATCCGGCAATGCACCTTCCTTTTCCAAAATAGGTCATTTACAGAAAGAGATTGAACAATTAAAGTCAGTTTTTAAGCAGGCACACGTAACTTGCATCACCTGTGAAAATCCACTACATCGTAATTATATTTTAGTTAGTTCAGCCGATGCTTGACACTAAACACACATCCTTTTAGGATCTAGTACGCTTAGCACAATCAACCCTTCTCCTTTTAAGGTCTAAATCAGGGACTATTTGCAATAAATTTAAACAGAATTTCTTAAAATTCGGGAGAGACTACAAATCCAACACAATCTTTTCTGATAAGCACATGAAATCTGACAAAACAAACGTTAAACAAAAACATGATACATCTAAACGCGAAGCGAAATTTACATTGTGGGGACCAATGATGGTGCCAGTCCAAGAACGCATGTAGATGTCATCTCCGTCATCCATCCCATAGCTGACAGTGCCATCCCCAATACCTTTTTCTCCTCGTTCAAGTTCCTCCAGCAATCTGAAGTTTCGTGGGACTGCAAGAAAACTCAAGGGTTATACGTGGTTGGTTGAAAGAGTAAGGGAACATATCTTACATTCTTAATAAATTCCTTTTATTTACAGTTTTAGGAATGATAAACACAAACACAACCAAAACCTTGTATGCAGAGAAACCAAATCATGCTTGGATTGAACGGAACATTAGTTGGCAGCTTCAAATTTCAATGGACAATAATTAGAAGAAAAATACAAATTTGAATATACAAAAAAAAAAAAAATTGATCTTTTCCTCATAAATACACTCTATATTTCAAAGACAAACACAAAGTTCAATCTTACCTTTCAAAGTTCAAATACTGCATGCGCAAAATTATTCAGAAATGAGCTCAATATTTTTATTGCAATTAAACGAATTAAAAAACATTAGGGAAAAAAAAAACACAATTCAATTCAATGCAACAAAAAAACTCAGCTGGAAAATGCAATAATTAAATCAACTAAAGGCCAAACTCACCTACCCACATGCGAAATCATATCAAAAAACGCATAAACCACAAAGTCAACAAAAAACCATTTGCACAATCGATCAAAATTACACAAGAACAAAAAGATCAAGGCAAAATTCGATCAAACGATGACATGGGTAATGATAAACTCACCCACGACACTCGATCCTCCTGAGCCCAGCGTCATAGATGATGACGATGATCAGTTGGGTGGGTGGGTGGTTGGATTCTCAGGTGGGTGTGCCGAGATCTAACGAAAGCGAGAGGTATCGGAGGTGGGCGGAGGCGGTCGAAGAGTGAGGAATATGAGAGAATCTGGAGAGAGAGAGAGAGAGAGAGAGAGAACCAGGCGTTGAAGGCAAAGTGGGATTAAAGGAGAAGACTTGATGGGCAAGAGGGATTTTGATAGGTTATGAAGAAAGATGATGGGTTGGGATTTATTGGAATTTTGGGAATTAGGGGACT